GATATTAATATTTTATATCTCAATAATTGCATATTAGTCTTTTAATTCTTGGAAAATGCATATTAAACCTCAAGTCCTATACGACCCTGCAAATTGGTTCATCCGTTAGTTTTTTAGTTAAGAAAATCCAACTATGGTTTGGTTGGTACGAGTCGCCATGCGAAGACCTTTGATTGCGGAAATATAAAAGGTGTATTTAAGAAGAAAAGAGCAAAACACAAGAACAATTTGATAAGACGAAGGAAAATACTTTCTCTAGATTATGAAGATCAATTGTTTACAAATCTCTCCTCACAATCTCTCTAGAATAAAGAACAAACCTCTTTATTCTCAAAACTCGCGGACTTTTTTCCCCTTAACAATATGGTTTCTATTTATACAAACCCTAGGAACCAAACCTGCCAAGAAACAGATTAGCCCAAACCCGATATCAGTCGACTGATGAATCCCGTCGGTCGACTGATGAACACGTCAGCCGATTGATCGCAAATGTGCACAACCGTGCACAACTTCATCGGTCGACTGATCCTCTTAGTCAGTCGACCGATGAGCCCGTCGGTCGATTGATCACCTATCAGTCGACCGAGAAGAAACTTTTCATGATTCCAGACGTTTCATCGGTCGACTGATGAACCCGTCGGTCAATCGATAAGTGATTTTCTGCCAGCTTTGAAATTATAGCCGCACAAACCAGTCCGTGTTCGCCAACAATATTTTCCAAGCCTCTATTCTTAAGCTACCATGAGAATCATCTATTCTCAAGCTCCCATGAGGATCGCTAAGTTCTCGAAGCAGAGAAGATACACCCTTATCATGGATCCCTCCTTTAGGAGCTTGAAGTCACGTTCAAGTTAGAACTTCAGCTGAGGAAACTCACGAGATCCTCCCTCTTTGTTGAACCACTTGGCCTCGCTAGGAACCTGACCTTGATGCCCAACTAGAAATGACTCATTCGTCCCCTGCCTAGTCGTAGTCGCCTTCCATTTCAAAATACAATCCTCTTTCAGTGGTTCTTCTCTATCAAACCGCAAGTCTTCAACATGCAGCAAGATCACTTTGTCGTCACCCTCATCATCCAGCAATGGAGGCTCGAATAACTTTAAGTATGCGATATTGATCACCGAATACATGCCTAAGTAAGGTGGCAAATCCAGCTTAAAGGTGTTGTCTCCGATCTGATCAAGAAGTCGAAACGGACCATATTGTATATGCTTTAACTTCTTTCCTTCTCACTTTAGCCGCTCCTTACCTAACTTCAGCCACACCATGTCACATTTGCCGAAATTATAAGGCATTCGATGTTGATCATATTCGCCTTGTACTTCGCTTGTGACTTCTTCAATTGTGCTTTAACGACGGTGTGAGTCTGCATAATCTTATCTAGAAATTGTTGAGCCTTCTATTTTTCACTCCCTTCTTTGTCTTCGGTCGTAGCTTCACTAGAGAATACTAGATCGAATAGACTTGGAGGTAGGAACCCGTAACAAGTCTCAAACGGTGACTTTCCTGAAGATCCGTGAATAGCCCTGTTGTAAGCATACTGGAGATATGGTAAGCTCTCATCCTAAATCTTGGGATGCCTGGAATTATACCCCTGCAACATGTGAACCATAATTCGATTGACTACTTCTGTCTGCCCTTCTACTTGTGGATGAAAGGTTGTACTTTTCTTCAATCTGGTGTCCATCAAACTCCACAAGGAATCCCAAAAGTACCCGAGGAACCTGCTATCCCGACCTAAAATAATCAAATTTGACAAACCAAAGTGCTTCCACACATGCTCAAAGAATAATTGCGCTACACCCGGTCCCATCACGGTCTTCTTGTAAGGAATCAAGACCGTCTTACTGAACCGATCCACTACAACGAACAAGTAATCATTTCCGCGCTTGGTCATTGGCAACTCTCCTAAGAAATTCATAAAAAATACTCTCCTATGGTCTAGAACTAGAAGGCACTGACAACAGTAGATATAATCCTCTCTTTCTGTTAGAAGGCTTCGATATGTAACATAGCTTACACCCTTCAACATACTTGGTAACATCCTCTAACATCTTTGGCCAAAAGACATGACGTTGAAGATTGAGAAGCGTCTTCTGAATCCCAAAATGACCTTGCACAAGTAATGTATGTGCCTCTCTAATCCACTGCAACTGATCGCCATCCTCCGGAATGCAAAGCGATGTCTCACGATATAACAAATCATCTGCTCTGAGCTCATACTCCCCCTTCCGACCAGCCTTCACCTACTCGAACACACTGCTGAGGTCTCTGCTGGATGTGTACATATGCACATACTCCAAAGGAGCCAAGGGCTGAATAGGCATCGTCACCAACAAAGCTCTCACTGACGGTCGAGATAGCATATCGGCCAACTTGTTAGTCACCCCCTTCTTGTACCTAATGATGATGTTGAACATCATCAAATAGGTCATCCACTTCATGTGTTGTGCCTGTTGTAGCTTCCTCTGGGCATGTAGAAACTCCAATGGCTTGTGTTCCGAGTGCACAACCACCACCTTACCCAACGAGTACACCTTTTAATGCTTGATCGCCTGGTAGAGCACATAAAACTCCTTATCGTAAGTAGGATAGTTCTAAATAGCAACCACAAATATTTCAGAATGGTACTTCACCAGCTTCACATCCTGTATCAACACAGCGCCCATAGCATAGCTAGAAGCATCGGTCTCTACCTTGAAGGTCTTTTGTAAATTAGGCAATGCCAATACTGGTGCCTCAGAGATTTTCCTCTTCAATAACTGAAAAGCCTTCTCATACGTCCTACTCCACTCGAACCGAACCTTCGCCTTATTAAGGCCATGTAAGGGTGCCACATAAGTAAAAAATGTTAAACTCTAATGCCACTAGGAAAGAACCCTAGAGGGAGGTGAATAGGGTCTTATACTAATCTAAAATGATTTTATGTCAATTAAAACTAATTAACAAATATATCCTAGCAAGTATGATATGCTACAAGATATGTGATATATCCTAGCAAGTATGATATGCTACAAGATATGTGTAAGGATATACAATATAAACAAGGGTAAACAATATGATCATGCAAGATATGTGTAAGGATATACAATATAAACAAGGGTAAACAATATGATCATGCAACAATGGCGATATAATAATATACAAGAATAAATGTGCCAATGCCAAACCCAAACACAAAGAAATAATCACGGAGTTCGGACCTTCCGTCCTACGTCTCCGCTCCCTACTCCCGGGGAGAATCCACTACACAACCCGGTTTGGAAGCCGGAACTTCTCTACACACTCGGTTTTCTAGCTAACCGAAAACTCTACACACTTGGTTATCAAGTCAACCGACAACTCTCACAAATTCTCACAAAGTACATACACAAGCTACAATCTCAAGTGTTGGTCCTCACGTATCGACTCCCTCAAGTGCTTGGAATTATCACCTCTCACTAGGCCACCGACGCCACTCCTCTCGGTATCGACTCCGTCCTCACCACACACTCCTCTCAGTGTACAAGTGTATTACAAAGTGAACTTCATAATTAGGCATACAACAAACGATTGTTCTCTAAACAATGTGAGAACTCAATTAGGCTCAACTCAATGTTACTATCTCTCACAACCCCAAATATATTATGAATGCAAATACAAAAAGCTCAAGTGGGTGTGTGTAATAATGAGATTAATCAAATCTAAGCTTAATATAAAACTAGCTTTAATAAGATGATAATCAAACAAATAAATATAAAGCTAGAAAAGAGTTTAGAAAACTTCTCAATAGATGACAAGAGATGAAGGGAGAATAGTTGATTGCTCAAACTCCAATAGATGATCTCCTCAATCTCTTGTGGAATTGAATTCACAAACTCAAACCCTCAATTGCTTAAAAACTTCTAAACAAATATTAAACAAACTTAAACCCTTGTTTAAAACTCTTTTAAACTTGTTTAAAACGTTTCATTAAGTAGTATGAAAGATGAGAGCAAGGGGGTATTTATAGGAACCCAAAACATCAGCAAAAACCCCAAAAAAAGACTAAAAACCCATAAACAAACAAAACAAAAAACTAGTCGTTACTGTGCAACGGCTCTCTGATAAGTCGACTTATGAGTCGACTTATATGAGTCGACTCAGCCGACAAAAAATCACATCTTCGCTGCACTTCGTGAGTCGACTTATGAGTCGACTAAACATGCACAGACCAGATTTGCACAAAAAACTCAACTTAAAAACATGTTTTAAAATATCATATAAATTTCAAAAATTATGAAACTTTGGGAGATGATTGTAGACATGATAATAAACATATTACAAAAACTGGTTTTTAAAAAGGACCTACCAAATGAGAAATATCATCATTTTGTAAAATAGTCCAAACATGAAAATATGAACACATGAGTTTTGACATTTTAGCTTAACCATGTTTTAAAACATTACAAAATAATTTTGTATACTTAATAAAAGATGTATATGATTATTGTTAAGTCCATAAACCAAGAAAACAATATTTTCACAAAATTACATATTCTGCAAACTTTTCAAAACAATAAATATGATTTCATTTAACTAAATAAACTTGATAATGATGAAATCATATATATGTATATAAATATGAAACAAGAATGTATTTTCCAATTATATTCATTTGTTTCATAAATATAAATTTGAAAACAGTAAAACCAAAACACAATAATAAATATGTAATCTCATATTTATAAGCATGCATGAAAACTTAAAACTATGTATGTATATATATATAACTATATATATATATATACAGAGAGAGGTTCTAATAAAAACCTCATTAGCCTAAAAACTAAAAACCTCATTCATCCATTGGATCTAGATGAATCCAATGCTAGATCCAATGGCTGGTATTCAGTCAAACAGTCAACAGACACATGCATTAATTACCTCATTAATTACCTCATTAATTACCTCAACGCAGTGAATCCAGATTCACTACCTCAACGTATCTCGAATCACTCCAGTGAATCTAGATTCACTGCGTTGAATCTGGATTCACTGCGTTGATGTAATTAATGCATGTGTTTAATAAGATAATTAATGCATGTGTCTGTTGACTGTTTGACTGAATCCTAACCATTGGATGAAGGAGGTTTTTAGTTTTTAGGCTAAGGAGGTTTTTATTAGAACCTCTCTCTCTCTCTCTCTATATATATGACCCCAAGCACCGCCGCCCCAAACCCTCCTCCCTAGTTCGATTGAGCTGGAAGTTCGATTCGTCGGACGAATCGAGAGCTACTTCGTCTCTCTCCAAACCCTAGCTTCTACCGTCGGCGGCCCCCTCCCTCCCGTCCTCGCCCTCGACCTCCGATCACTCGCCGCCTGCTGACACGTCGCCTTGGCTGGATCCGCATCCGGTTCCTCTTCAATTGAGGTGCCGATAGCTCAGGTCCAACTCTTGATCTGCTTTCTTTTGCCTTTGGGTCTTTCTTTTTTAATCTTGTAGACCCTAAATTGACAATATTAGCATCTTTCAACTGAAATTTCTTTAGTCGGAGGTAAAAGTGGTAATACATAGGATTAAATTTCATTTGTGATGAGTTTCATCTTGAGATCTTGCTCCAATTTGAGCTCTGATTTTTGCTCCGATTTCGAGCTCTGATTTCTGGTGTTTCGTGCTCTGTTTGAGCTCTGATTTGTTCTGAGTTCATGCTAAAATGATAACTAATGGGGCAAAACTGACTGCAATGATACCCCCTCCTTATCAGCTCCATGAGCATTATTGTCTATTTGATCACGACTCTCTTTGCAACTGACTTTTTTGAAATTAAGGCAGTGAAGGAGATTGAGCCTGCACTAAAGAAGCAGCTCATTATCGCTACTGCACTCTCTTTGCAGTTGATTTGGCATGTTAGTTGTTGATTGTTTTCATTATTTATTGAAACTGATAATACATTCATGATGATTATCTTATCAGATTTAAATTTCATCTTTTAATGGAACCTCAACAATTACTTGATGCTATCATATGCCTATTCTGATTCATGATAATACTGTTGAAGTGTCTGCGTGTAAATTTTTTATTGACCTTATGCTGCAATTGTAGAAATTTATGGTCATCAGTTGATTCAGTTCAAATACTTAACAGATCATTATCCTTGACCTGAATACAACATGAAAATAAATTTATTTTATTCCTTGGAACCTAATTACTTGCTACTTCACATTTTAACTCATTTCATATGTAGCATTCATGTAATTCAATTTGGTGAACATATTCTTATATCATGAAACTTCATAGCACTAATTTGGTGAATATAGTTGTCATGAAATTTGCAGTTAGGCCAAGTTGTGGAGAAGAAGAAGAGCAATCTTGGGAGAAGAAGAAAAGACTAAATAGTTTCTTCGGGATGTCTGCAGAAAGTTTCTCTTGGATGTTCAATTGCTATATGATCTTTATAAAGTGGATGTCAATTGCTATGTGAGATCTTCATGTGGTTAAAATGAGTCTTATGCTGTACTACTTAATGTATGAACGGTGTAATGTTTTGTGTTCAATAATTAGAAGATGTTGAAAGACAGGAATTGCTGCTTATATCGTGGTTGTGTTCTTTTATTTTTTAATGTTTATAGTATGTTTTCTCTAAGTGCCGTTAAGTGGCGTTCATCTAGTAACATTACATGACTGTAGTCTTAATTTTTCTTCATGTTAAATTGTGCTTAAAAGTTGATGTATTGTGTCATTTTGCACATCATTGGAAGGAGAAGCTTAAATCATACTAGTTTGCACATAAAAGATAGTACTCAGAGTAGTTCTTTTGTATGGCATAAGCGTGCACAGAGACACGGACTCTGCAATATCTGAATTAACCAAAATCCAAACACATACTGACAATAGATCATCTCCAACTTGTACCCGTCATATATTAAAAAACAGTAACAGGGAAATCTTTTGAATCCAGGTTACATCTCGGCCAAAGCAATCCAGATTACACAAATAACAACAAACAACAAAAGATTCGAAGAGAGTATATACACAAATCGCAAAGCCAAGGCACAAACAAACAATCACCGACCAAACCAAATCTTTTGAGGCTGGATCATCCCCTCCTCCATCGTTCATAAGCTTATCAAGCACCACATTAAGGTCCATTGCTTGCCCATTCTCTGTCAGTTCACATTAAGGTGCTCTGGAAGAAGATTGATGTAGCTTTGCTAGCTGGAGTTGAGCCTCAACTATCTCATGTTTGTCATGGAGAACTTGAATACCTGTTTGAACCTGCACAGTTCAGCATATCTTTCACAAAGTAGGTGATCCTCCTACTTCTATAAGTTCATGCCAAATCCAATGAGGGAACTTTGTTAGAACCACAAATAAGTAGAGCATTTAGAGACATATCATGGCCAAGTCATTACACGGAGAGCAAGACTGAAACCAAAGGTCAATTAACTGAAACAAATATAGTTGGAAATTTAGTTTGCACACAACTAAAACTAGAAACCAATATAATGCAAACTGAAACCAATCATGAATCAAACTGAAAGATTAGTAGGTTTGAGCTCCACAACTCCAACCTTGGAATTTACACATAATATAATACAAACTGAAACCAATCATGAATCAAGAGCCAAGCTGAAACAAAGGCCAAGCTGAAACCATGCACAGAATAGCAGGATGAAAAACAAATTGACACTCAGGCACATAAAACATACCTCAAATATATTGCAATATATTGCCTCAAAAGAAATTCATGAAAATGTGTTCAGAAAAGGCCCTTTTTTCAATATATGCCTCGCCATGAAGTTTATAATAGCAATGTTGGCTGCAATATATTGCCTCGCCAATATATTCCTGCAATAAACTTTGGCTGTATATTTTAAAAATAGCCCATCATCATAACACAAAATATGCATCAAATAAAAGATAAAAGTACATAAGCATCAATTGCCAATGGCAATTGTGCTCAACAATCCAAGAGCAGCAACAACAATACCATACATCGTAGCCAAGCTGAAACTAGTTTATGAGACCAGCCCATAAACCAATAGCAACACAGAAGAAAAGCTCCCTGCCAATTCCAACTCAAACAAATTAGATAACAATATATGAAACAAGACTCAACGGTAGCTCCTTGTCCCTGTCAATTCCGACTGAAAAAATAGATAATTATATGAACTAGTTTAAAATAGTTTTGGCTTACCAGTTCTTCACTTCCTTCTGGACACCAAAATTGAAGATGGTAAAGGAAGCTGGAAGAGCTCCCCAACTAACAACAGTGATTCCAACATTCGTAAGTGCAGTAGCGATAATGAGCTGCTTCTTTAGTGCAGGCTCAATCTCCTTCACTGCCTTAATTTCAAAAAAGTCAGTTGCAAAGAGAGTCGTGATCAAATAGACAATAATGCTCATAGAGCTGATAAGGAGGGGGTACATCATTGCAGTCAGTTTTGCCCCATTAGTTATCATTTTAGCATGAACTCAGAACAAATCAGAGCTCAAACAGAGCACGAAACACCAGAAATCAGAGCTCGAAATCGGAGCAAAAATCAGAGCTCAAATTGGAGCAAGATCTCAAGATGAAACTCATCACAAATGAAATTTAATCCTATGTATTACCACTTTTACCTCCGACTAAAGAAATTTCAGTTGAAAGATGCTAATATTGTCAATTTAGGGTCTACAAGATTAAAAAAGAAAGACCCAAAGGCAAAAGAAAGCAGATCAAGAGTTGGACCTGAGCTATCGGCACCTCAATTGAAGAGGAACCGGATGCGGATCCAGCCAAGGCGACGTGTTAGCAGGCAGGGAGTGATCGGAGTCGAGGGCCGAGACGGGAGGGAGGGGGCCGCCGATGGTAGAAGCTAAGGGTTTGGATGAGGGAAAGAGGGAGAGAGACGAAGCAGCTCTCGATTTCGTCCGAAGAATCGAACTTCAGCTCAATCGAAAAGGAGGAGGGTTCCAGGGGGCGGGTGCTTGGGTCATGATCGAGAGAGGGAGAGGGAGGAGGGGAGGGTTTTGGGAGAGAGAGGGTGAAGGTCTGGGAAGTTCTGAGCTGAGGAATATGGGTCACGAGAGGGGTGAGGCGTATTTGAATTGGGATCAACCGTTCGTTAAATCCACGGCAAGAAAGAATCGTTTCGCACGTTGCTGTGCGAAAATCGTTTCGCATCCGAAGATTCCTCTCTCTCTCTCTCTCTCCTCTATATATAAGTATAATATATATATATATATATATATATATATAATAAATAAAAAAAAAAAATATAGGGAGAAGGTTCTAATAAAAACCTTCTTAGCTAAAAACTAAAAAACGCTCCCTTCATCCAATGGCTAGGATTCAGTCAAACAGTCAACAGATACATGTATTAATTACCTCATTAAACACATGCATTAATTACATCAACGCAGTGAATCCAGATTCACTGCAGTGATTCGAGATTCACTACAGTGATTCGAGATACGTTAAGGTAGTGAATTTGGATTCACTGCGTTGAGGTAATTAATGAAGTAAATAATGCATGTGTCTGTTGACTGTTTGACTGAATCCCAGCCATTGGATTCATCTAGATCCAATGGATGAAGGAGGTTTTTAGTTTTTAGGCTAAGGAGGTTTTTATTAGAACCTATCCCTATATATACATAGAAACATATATGTATATGTATGACTACATATACATAGAAACCAAAAACTAAAATATGTATATATATATAACTATGTGTGTGTGTGTGTGTGTGATGAAAACCAAAACTTGTGTTGTATATATATATATATATATATATACAAGGAAACCAATATAATGTGTGGGTATATATGATTGAGCTTAAAGTACCAACACACATAATATAAACCTAAACTAATATTACCCAAGCTAGTTCTTGATCTTCAATAAGCTTGACTTGGTACACTTGCGGATGAAACTAGAACTTGGATCTTCAACTTGAATTGCATATGCTTCACCCACTATTCCGCCAATCTCCATTGGATATGATCGTTGAAGCGCAATTCCATCCATCCTCCAACATATTATTTGTCTACAATTGATACAAAAAACCAAACACTAGACAAACAACATTAGAAGTAAATTATTTGTAAATCATCATCAAAACAAGAAGGCTAACAATCTCCCCCTTTTTGATGATGACAAACAATTTACAAAAAAATATATGCATGAAAGGAAATTAATATTGTAAATTATAATTATCATGCATATAAACAAGAAAGGCTATACTCATAATATTTCTCCCCCTTTGACAACATCAAAAAGGGAACAAAAGATGAAGAGAGCGAAATCTCCCCCTACAAATAAGTATGGGTGAGTATAAAATAAGTATAGGGATTGCTCCCCCTATCAAAATGCCTTAATAGATATATGAAATGAATGCTAAGGTAAAAACATGTGAGTAAGCATAAATAAAAGATATGCTAAACAGAACTCACATATAAACAAGACAATGAGAACACATATTGATATGTCATTATGAAATAATGTCTCATTACTCAAACATAAAAACCATGTATGAATAAATTTATGAAAACAAAGGAATGAGGAAAATATGAGAACCATGAAAAAAGTTTTCAAATGAAAACAAATCACTCAAATGAAATCATAAATCAAGATTTGAGTCCAAAAACAATATTTGATGAAAAAAGAAAATTTTCTTTGTATAACTTGATCAAACCACTCATAGAACACATTATAAGGCACGAATAGATGATCCATGAACACAAACATATAAATATCATCATATAAGTAAAATATAATGAATTCGAAGTAAATAAAAAAAATTAACAAAAGAATTTCAAGAGAGGCAACAATGTATCAAGCTCTTAAGCTTGTTCCAACCCATATAATCATTCTAGCATCCGGTAAACATGATTTGGGAATAAACACCCAATAAACCCGGAGGGTTATATAAACACAAACCTCTCATCAAAATTGAAATTAATAATCATGAAAACAAAGGAATTGATCAACGAAAAATTATTTTCATATTAAAAGTTTTTAAAGCACATTTTACTAAACCAAAAAAAATAAAAACACTAAAATTCTTGGTTTAAAAAGATTTTGGCACCCAAGCATTCTTGGTACCAGATTGGTTAGGGACATGACCCCTATCATTCAAGCTCAAAGCCCTAGGGTTATGAACCCATTTGGATGCATGTGGTGCACGAACATGGTCAAAACAATATTCATTCAAATGACCCTTTCGATTGCAATTCGTACAATAAAAAGAGTGAAAAGATTTGTTGACCAAGTGAGTGTCACGAAAATCATTTGCAAATAAAGATTATCTTTTAAATTCATTTTGCAAATGGGAAACCTCATTAAACAAAAGTGGTCTTTTTGGAACATTTTGCAAAATAGGAGATTTTTGCACATCAAAACAAAATTGAGCAAGATGTCCAAGCCTACCACAAACATTATATTTAAAAACATGTGGTCTACTAGAAGTATTTGGCAAACTAGAATTTTTTTCAAATCAAAGTAAAACTTTGCCAAATGGCCAAACCGACCACAAAGATCACAATGATACACACTAGCATGCTTATGATGAACATTATGTGCATGTGCATGAGTGTGTGATGAAGAAGCCTTATGAGATGCACAAAAGGAATTAATATGATCCTTAGTGGGTTTATGTGCATCATAGCAAAATTTAGCAAGGTGGCCTTTTTGGCCGTAAATAGAGCATTTATAAATTTTGCTATACATGTGTGCATGTTGTATAATATGTTTAGATGTAGTAGCATGAGATTTAGCACACATGTCCATAAGCTTGTTATTATTGACAATGCATGATTTAAGAGTTGAATCTAAAGATGATATTCTGTTTTTAACATTATTCAACTCATCATTAGGCACACATACATTTTTATTAGAAGTAGAACATAAATAGTCATTTATGAAAGAAGCAGTATTATTTTTTATGTTCTTTACTTTTAACATGATATTATTTTTTGTCATGAGACAAGTTAGCAATATCCAATTTCAAATTATTATTTTTCAAATTTAGCATATCATTATTTTCTTTAAGAGCATCATTCTCTTGAGAAATGATATCAAATTTGGAAGCTAACTTCTCATGATCGGATTTTAAACCTTCATGCTTGCTTTGTAAATCAATAAAATTTTTATGTAATTTATTATAGGCATGCAATAATTTTATACTAGCACAGACGAGTTCATCAAAAGATAAATCATATTCGAATTTGGACTCGCTTACCATACTAGGACTATCGCCTAGTGGCCGTGTGCATGAAAATGAAGCTCCACATGAACTAGAAGCGGAATCCTCCAAAGCTTGTCGGATCGCCTCCAAATTCCCTTGATGTGCTTCTATAAGTTTCCATAATGTGTAAGCACTATCAAAAGAATCAAGCTTGTTAGACATAGATGAATCGAACGCATTATGTAAAAATTCTAACAAAAGCTTATTCATGGTAAACATACGATAATCATTTTTATTCCACTTGAATTTCTCCGAAGTGGGCACAATATAAGCATCATCTATAATTTCCCATAAATCGAAGTGTCTAGATCGAACAAAAAGTTTAAATCTAACACACCATTGGGCATAGGGGAAATTATCTAATCTAGGAGCAATATTGATGGCATAACCTAAACAAGGTGCACCGTGCATATCCATAATGTGCAAGCAATATACAAATAAAATCAAAACAAGATTAGCACAAAAAGATAACTTGGATCTTTAACTCAAGGCGATTAGATCTTAAATCAAAGAGCACCAAACTCTGATACCAATTGTTAAACCCTAATACCGCTAGGAAAGAACCCTAGAGGGGGGGGGTGAATAGGGTCTTATACTAACCTAATCTGATTTTATATCAATTAAAACTAATTAACAAATATATCCTAGAAAGTATGATATGCTACAAGATATGTGCAAGGATATACAATATCAACAAGGGTAAATAATATGATCATGCAACAATGGTGATATAACAATATGCAAGAATAAATGTGACAATGCCAAACCCAAACACAAGGAAATGATCACGGAGTTCGGACCTTCCGTCCTACATCTCCTCTCCCCACTCTCAGGGAGAATCCACTACACAACCCGGTTTAGAAGCCGAAACTTCTCTACACACTCGGTTTTCTAGCTAACCGAAAACTCTACACACTCGGTTATCAAGTCAACCGATAACTCTCACAAATCCTCACAAAGTACATACACAAGCTACAGCCTCAAGTGTTGGTCCTCACGTATCGACTTCCTCAAGTGCTCGGAATTATCACCTCTCACTAGGCCACCGACGCTACTCCTCTCGGTATCGATTCCGTCCTCACCACACACTCCTCTCGGTGTACAAGTGTATTACAAAGTGAACTTTACAATTAGGCACACAACAAATGATTGTTCTCTAAACAAGGTGAGAACTCAATTAGGCTCAACTCAATGTTACTATCTCTCACAATCCCAAATATATTATGAATGCAAATATAATAAGCTCAAGTGGGTGTGCGTAACAATGAGATTAATCAAATCTAAACTCAATATAAAACTAGCTTTAATAAGATGATAATCAAACAAATAAATATAAAGCTAGAAAAGAGTTTAGAAAACTTCTGAATAGATGACAAGAGATGGAAGGAGAATAGTTGATTGCTCAAACTCCAATAGATGATCTCCTCAAGCTCTTGTGGAATTGAATTCACAAACTCAAACCCTTAATTGCTTAAAAGCTTCTAAACAAACATTAA